TTTTTTAATAATAATATTATTGGTAGTTAACAGTAGTTATATTATTAATAGTATATATTATTATTATTGTTTGTTATCATAGTATTATTAGTTTTTTTATATTCAATGTTTTTTGATGTCATAGTTATTTTTAATATTAGTTCGTGGTTTGTCAAAGTTTAAATATATTTTTTTCTTTTAAAGATTATGGCATTTAAATCTCTCTGCAATACTTGTCATAAAAATATAACTGATTATCTAAGAGCCATCCATGATATTTGTAACTCAGGTCCATGCAAAGTGTAACCATATTGATGCACATTCTTATAATCTTCTTTTGATTGACTCTTCAGATTTGTATTATTTAGCTGTTTATCTAAGAGTATGACATTTAGCTCGATTTCTAACTTTGAGCTCAATTCAACATTGTTATGCAAGAATATATCTACTAGTTCATTAATCTCTTTTGAGACTCCAAGTAATCATAAAAATATCTTTAAAGATCTAAATAAATTTCCCAGTCCTGTTAATTGCAAATACTATGACGTTATTGATCTCAATAAAGTTATGCTTTCCAATTCAGAACAATATATTTATCTTAATATTGCTTCACTACCATTCCACATTAACAAATTTTGTATTCTTATCAGCTCTCATTGATTTTCCCATAGCAATAGGTATTTCAGAATTTTTATATAAACAATACAAACATAACTGATATATACATAAATGGTTTTATATTGAGCATTATCCTGTTGAGACTAAAAAAAGGTGGAGCACTTTTATACTAACGCTTAAATTTAAATTACGTAGTTTGCAATGATCTTATGATTTACTCTTCTAAATATTTAGAGTCTATTTTTGTTGAATTTACAAAACCTTGTCAAATATAATAATTGACTACATTTATCGTCATCCCTCAATGAATCAACATGAATTTACTTCCTCCCACTTAACTCCTATACTTAAAAAGTTAAGTAACAAAAAAAAAAAAAGAATTTTCTAATAGGTGATTTCAATATGGATCTATTAAGTCACAATGAATCTAACCCTGTTTCTACATATTTTGATTCTTTAAAATCTTACACACTAAGCCCTTCTATAATTTTACCACCATACATAATGGCTACATCAAATATGCTCATTGATAAACATATTTACAAACTTTCATTCAACTGATTAATTCTTAAGTACCCTTACGATTTCAATTTCAGAACACATGGCACAATTTATTTGCATTCCTGGCATACCCAACCACCCCAAAAAAGTTAAACTTACAGACAATGCTTCAAAAAGTTTAACAAAAGTCTATCTATTGAAAAAATTTCTGATATCAACTGGGAGCTCTCCATTAAAAAAAATGATGATGTTAATAAATCCATCAATTTGATGAACATTTGATGAAATCTTAGACTGACATGCTCCTTCCAAAATATTAACCAACCAACAAATTAAACTAAAATCAAAACCTTGGATTACGTATGGAATATCTAAATTTATTTCAATTAAAGGCAAGCTTTATAAAAAGTTCATAAAATATTTATCGGGTGGACACGGAAAAATCCGGTCAACTTTAAATTGAGATTTCTCTAAAACCATAAATGCTTTTTATTTCAATTTTTTTATTATTAAATGTGTTTACATAAATTAGAGTTTCAACTTAATTTTAAGGGGCTTGATGGGTTGCTTGGCAAGAAATCGAACTTTATAGTGGGTTGATGCCATCATTTTACAGATTTTTTCTTTTTTCACCATATTGGTGGCATTAATCCACTTTTTTTGGAAGTCCTTTTTATTATTTGTTAGTTTACCTGTCTTATGAAGAACTCCTTTAACTATTGCCCAAAAATCTTGCGCTCTTCAGGACGATTTGGAGGATTCGCATCTTTAGGAACATTTTTCACATTATTATCTTTGCACCACTGTAAAACTTTTTTAGAATAGTGAGAGGCAGCAAGATCGAGCCAAAAGAGACATCGGTATTTGTGTTTTTTTATAAAAGGCAAAAGTCTTTTTTGGAGGCATTCTTTGATGTAGAGATTGGCAGTCAAGGTCTTTTTAGTGACAAAACAAGAGGACTGCATGCCACAGCTACAAATTGCTTGCCACACAAGGAACTTGGATGCAAATTTTTCTCGTCGAATATATTTAAATTGATCATCAACAGGTTTATCTTTGTTTTCATAGTAAAACTGTTGACCAGGAAGTTGTGAAAAATCCGCCTTGCAATACGTTTTGTCGTCTTCAATTATGCACATATTTTTATCCGCCATTATTTTAACCAACTTCTTTGCGCGTCGAATTCCTTTAATTTCGCAATTTAAGCTTCTCTTAAGTGTATTTTTTTTATGAAATGCTTCAATTCCAGCATTTTTAAGTACTTTTTTGATATAAAAACGAGAAGTCTTAAATTTTCTTCCTAGATCTCACTGTGACTGATTTGGATTTCTTGCTATTAAATGTAAAATCGACTTTACCTTTTTGGATTTATGGAAAGTTTTTTTTCTTCCACTTCCAAGTTTTCTTTCGAAGCTTTGAGTAGTCTTGAACTTGTTTATAATATCTATGACTGTAGATTTTGAGACATTTGTGCGTTTAGCAATCAAGCGATAGGAAGTCAATGGACTTTTGCAAAAAAAATTCACAACTTTTTTACGCACCTCAACTTGTTTCCAAAACATTTTGCAAATCATTAATTTGTAAACAAAAATTTATCAACATCATTTAAGATAAGGAAGTAAGGTTTAATTAAAAAAAAAAATTAAATAAAAAGCATTTGTGGTTTTGGAGAAATCTCAATTTAAAGATGACCGGATTTTTCCGTGTCCACCTGATATAAGAAAAATGAATTATTTGCAAAATTTAAATTTTATAGAAACAAAATTTGCAGTTTATTAAAATTTAGCAAAAAAACTTTATTACATATTTTAATAATAATCTGAGCAATATTAAAAAAAATAAATAAAAGAAATCATTAATATTAGACCTTCTACACACAATACATTTTTTAAACTTAAATTGAACAGAAATTTTATCACTGATCACACTGACATATATAATATATTTAACAATTTTTTTAGCACTATACATAACAAACTAGTTAGCAAAGCCATATCCCTAAACACTATTTAGTGATTTTCTTAACATTCCAAATTCAAAATCGTTTTTTATTAATCCTGTAACTGAAAATGAAATATCTGGTCTCATTATAAACACGCTCAAAACTAAAAAAGTCTTGGTCCTAATAGTATACCTACATTGCTCCTACTAGTCTAGTCCCACACATTATTTCAAAGCCTCTCTGTACTGTTATAAACAGTTCATTTAAAAGTGGTTTTTTCCCAGATATATTTTTAAAATTGACAAAATCATTTCAATATTTAAAAATATTGGCTCTCTACTAGATTTTACCAATTACCGATCCATCTCCCTGCTTTCTAATATAGGTAAACTCTTTGAAAAGGCAATGCATAATAAGCTCTATGCTTTTCTTGAAAAATTTAAATGCTTTTATACCCATCAGTATAGATTTTGTGCCAATTATTCCACAACTCATGCTCTCATTGAAATGACTGAATTGAGTAGAAAAGCAATCGGTGATAAATATTTTGCATGTGGTTTATTTGTAGATTTACAGAATGAGTTTGATACAGTAGATTTACAAACACATTAACCATGATCTTGTCAATCTAGTTCAATGGCCAACAAACTTCTTCAAAACTCTAATAAAACTAAACTCATTATCTTTAATCAAATAAAACAAAAATCTATAAACATATGAATTTTAGATTAAGTGGCAAGAAAATTGAACTTGTTAACTCAATTAAATATCTTGACATAAAAATGGATTCAAATCCTTTTTATCCCACTGTAAAGACTTAGCAATTAAACTAAGTAGATATTGGCCAAAATTCACCATTATATTAATCTTGAATCACTCTTGAACATATATCATGCTATTTTTGGCTCACATCTAAGATATGTATGCCAAGTATGGGAGCAGTCCCATCCACAAGCTCTTATTAGGTTATGCCACCTCCAAAACAAGGCTTTAAAAATCATTTACTTCCAAAATAATAATTTTAATCCTAATAGACCCTACCTAACTTCTAAAGTATTAAAACTATGTGACTATAATCTACTTTTAAACTGCCAACTTGTCCGGAACCACCAATACAATAACCTACCTTTAACTTTCATCAGTTTCATGAGTTTATTTTCCAAAAGTGCTAACAATTGTTATCACCTTCGTTCCAATAGTAATTTAAACCTATCTGTCTCTAAACATCGCTCTTATAATTACAGACATAAATCAATAAAATATCAAAGCATTAAAACTTGGAACAATTTTCCTTTTGAACTAAAAGTTCTCTTTATTTTATATCTTTATTTGCTCTTAATTCATTTTCAACCTTCAAAACTAGTTTATTCTCCTTTTTATTAAAAAAAGACAGTTAATATTTATAATTTCGATAATCACTTTTTTTTTTTTTAGTATTGTTTATTATTACTGTCATTAATAAAACACATTTGATATTTATAATTTCGATAAAAAAAATTTGTCATTACTATATCTTATTGTTATTTTTATAAATATTTACATTAATATTATTAACTACTTAAAATATTATTACTAATGTTAATATTGTTGTTATTATTATAGTAAGTATTATTGTTATTATTAGTGTTATAATAATAAATATTTTTATTACTGTCATTATTGTTGTTGTTGTATTATTATTGTTATGTTTTTATAATATAACTTTTTATAATTACTACTATTATTGATATCTATTTTATATTTATTGTTGTTATTATCATTATTTTTATTATTATTGAATTAGTGGTGGATGAAAGGAGGGTTTTAAAGAAAGTTTTATAACTAACCCAACCTTTCACTAAGGGAGCATGCAAAAATTTATGGATTTTTTCATAGTTTTGTTGTAAAAGTTCAAAATAAATATGGTTTTCATTCTTTCAAAGCACAAAAAGTGCCCAACCGATCTGAAACTCAAAGTGCAAAAGCTTCAGAAAATTGTATGAAAATTTTATTTCTAAATATTTCTGTATTATTGAATGTGTTGAAACTTATATCAAGTACCATCATCAGCAAAGTCCTGGTGTTGTCTATTATATTGCAAAATATAGAGGAAAAACAGATAAGAAATTTAAATACACAAAACAAGACAAGTTCGCTAAAAAAGTCTTAATTTGGCAAGCTATTTGTGGTTGTGGCAAAAAATCAGCACTTTATATTTCCTTGTCCACACTTTTTGGTCAAATATATGTTAAAGTTTGCAAAAATGCCTTTTACCTCTTATTAAATCACTCAATAGACCCGACTTTAATCAGACTTATGGTTTTAAGTTATTATTGTAAACTTGCTATGGAATGGTATAAAGAAAATAAATAACTCTGAAGCTTAGAGAGGAGCTTAAATTTTAAGAATTTAATTTTTAAAAAATATATAAATATATATAAAAAAGCTTTTAGAAGTTTGGCCATAAACAGATCAGCCCAATAATGTCACTTTTATATTTAATATTATTTTACAGGGTGTTAGCCGGACTGGCACTGAGTATATTGCAAAATTTCTAATTGGTTTAAATTTCTGAAAAGTTCAAAAAATCATAGTAAAAATGACCTGTTTTTTAACAGATTTTTTAACAGAAAGTTTTACACAAGACACGTAAAAATACACAAAATGAAGAAAATAATTAAGTTGATTGAGAACAAGAATAAAATAATTTAGTTGATTGAGAACTATCTTTACAAATAATTAAGTTGTAAAGAAAGAAAGATAAAATTAGGTAAATAAATAATTGATTTAGAACTTTCTAATAAAATAAATAAGTTGATTGAGATCTTTCTTTAAATAGAAAATAATTAGGTTGATCAAGAACAATTACTTTACAAGGATAAAAGCATAGTCATTAGCTACCAAGTCGTTTATTCTAAAATAAAAATAAAAACTTTATTTTTTAATTGATGTTGGTTGTTTTTTTAGATTTGCGCTTATTACATTGTTCTTTCATTGCGCTTTTTACATTGTTATCTTTTTATTAATTTTTTTTATTCTAAACTTTTTAATTACAATATAGAATTTCAAACTAACAAATGTTGTTTATCTTAAGTTAGGATTTTTTTTACAAAAATCATGGCATAATAAATGTCATTTTGAAACTAATTTTAAAAAGATAAAAACATTTTTTATTAAGTTTATTAAAAATACTGTTGGTAAACTAAATTTGCTGGTAAAGCATTTTAGTGTAAAGCATTTTAGTATTAATTAATAAATCATTTGTGCTTGTAAATGTTATAAATTTTTTGTGTGAAACATAAAAAAGGAATATTACATTTACATAAATTTTTATGATTTTTTTTAAATTTACAGATAAAAAAAAGTTTAATTTACAAATAAAAAAATCTTATTCAGCTTACATTAGCACTAGTGAAAACAATGTATATGCAGTTCCTTTTAACTTCAGTTCTTTGAAAAAGAAAAAAAAGTCAAATACCATTCAAAAATGTAGATAACCTACAACTGAAAACAACAGAAAGGTATGAGGTGTTATTTCATGATTTTTTTATTTGTCATCAAAACAAGGTTGCATATTGTTTGCCCCAGGAAAAAAAAGTAATAATGTATTTATTGCAAACCCTGGTAAATTTTCAGATTTCCTCTCGGAACATGCTAATGATCACTAATATAAGCATTTTGAAGCTTTAAAAAATAAACAAGCTTTAAATGAAATGTCTAAGCTAGACTAAAATATCTGGAAAAATGCTGTGTGAAAATAACTTTGGAAAAAAACAAGTTACTCTTGCTTTGTTGATAAAATCTTCTTTTAAGTCACACATTTGTTAATCATGAAAAACTGAGCACATACTTTTTTCAGACATTATTGAACTTATTACTGCGTGTGGTTGTAAGGAAGTTAAGATACATTAACATTAAGCATATTAACATTTGCTTTGATTTTGTCAAAAATCTTTTACTTCACTCACTAAGAAGTGAAGGGAGTTTTTTTTTTTTTATTCTAATGAAACTTCTGATAATACTTTGATTGAACAGTTAATTATACATGCCAATTTTGAATATAACTGCTTTGTAAAAGAATATTTCATTTCAAAAGGTGGTTTAAAAGCCTACATTGAGGATGCTGTGCCACTGTGTGTGTGGATTGGATGTACAAGTTGTAAACTTACGTTATGTTTTAAACACATCTAGAAGGAATTTCCTATTATTATGGATATCTTTTTACTTATGGAGGTTTTTAAATACCGCACACTAGACGTGCATTTGGTGCAGGAATGCTCCCATATCTACAAAGAACTAGAAACCATTATTCCAGTGTGTCCAAGTGTAACTCATTGGACTGCACACAATCAAGCGTGTTTAGTTGTATTTAAAGGTTATAAACATATTATGCAAGCAAGTTGACAATCTAACATTGCAATAACATTAATGTACTTAGATGTGTTAGAAGCGATTCACCCACTTGTGCTAGCACTACAAAGTTCACAAGCTAAATGGTTTTAATAATCATTATCTTGTACATTAAATATTATTAGACGACGAACCTTTCTGCATGATCACCTAGTTTTCTTATCACTTTAAACCCAATAGCTGCCTAAATAAACAAGCTCGTATGTCAAGAAATACTTGTTTAAAACGTGCATTGCAATCCAAGCTCATCTGAAATATGAGCTTTTAGTTTAAATAGTTTTTTTTTTTCTTATTGCCAACAACATTTTAAGGCACAATATAAAACAGTAAACATATTTAAGAATTAAAGCAAAAAAAATTTTGTCCTAATTCTTCTTTATATTGCAAAGAGTCTGGATAAATGTAAGCATTTTAAATATTTCAAATTTTAGAAGCTTCTAACTTAAAGGGATTCCAAACCTCCAAGACATGTTGTGTTCATATTAAAGAGAATGATAAAAAAAATATTAGGGCTAAATTTTTTGATTAAAACAAAAGAATAAATGAATACCAAGAAAAATTAAAAATTTTTTAATTTTAGTCAAAGCTTGTCTTCATTTTATTGTAAAAGTCAGCGTAATATATGTTGCAATCTACAGACTTGTTAATTTATTTAAGCACGTTTTATTTCTAAGAGTTTTAGTACATGGCGTCATTGATTTTTGATTGTTTACATAATCTATCTTTTGCGCAAACAAACAAAAATAACTTATTTTGCTTAGTAATTTTTATCGTTTTTTTTATTGAATTTATGTAATTTAATAAAACATAATGTATAGATTGTATGTTATTTTTAGAAAATATATACAGTCTGTGATCTGGCTATTAACTGTATTATGACAAAAGTGAGAACTTATATTTTTGATTTTGTTTTGTGGTTGAACATTGTAAATTTTTGTGGTTGAACATTGTGTAAAATTTTTAGACACTCTTTTTTTCACATTAGTGCCATACCTTTACACTTACTGACTTCCCTGGAAATGTGGTTTTACCTAAAAAGCTTTTTGTTGCAGATAAAGTAAGTTGTGTCACCAGAATTTTTGACATATAGTGATACATAAACTTTAATTGTCTATTTATTTTCAAGCAACTTGATTTCTTATTGTATAATTTATCTATAAATTATTAGAACCTAAACAATATGAAGTTGTATTTACCAAAAAATTTTGAAAAATCTCAAAAGGTATTTTTTTTTTTTTTTGTAATTAACATTCAATTAATTTTAAATTAATTTTTATTTAATATTATTTACCTAAAGTTGTGTAACATGTGATATTTACGAATTTTTTTGTGAAATCTGGTTGTTTTGGGTACTATTTTAAAGCTGAAAATGTGCCATCTACATACAGATTGCAGGTTCCATTACCAAGTGCACACATGTTTTTGTACAAATGACTTTTGATATACTGTAGTGTTTGCAGCATTAATATTAGGATCTATCCGAAGTTTTATGTTAAAACAACGTAATTTCATGCTTGTTGCATTGCAAGGATTTGAAATAGTTTTTGTCAGAATACTATAAAAGTTTTATTAAGTCTTTCAGACTTTATAAAACTTGCAAACTTTATAAAACTTGCATAATCAAAGTCATTCAATATTCAATATTATAAAAATACTGAACTAGTTTGAATTGATAATATTATTACTGATGATTTTAAGAAATAGTTTATAAAATTAAAAAAAAAAGTTGTCATGGCGCAGTGGTTAGTTCGCAGTGGTTAGTTTGCAGTGGTTAGCAGGGTGGTTAGCACTTTGAAATTTAGCTTAGCAATTAAAGTTTTTTTTTATTTTACCAAAGTATGATAATTTTTTTTTATTTATATCAAAGTATGATAATTTGCATAATTTTAATGAGCTTTTAAATAAAAAGAATTGATAAAATTTGGCAATGTGTTTTTTTAAAAATAAACAAAGTTTAATCAAGAATTTAATTTTAAGTGTAAAAAAAAATTTGAGTTTTTTTCAAGTGAAAAAAATTTTCCTTTTTTTTTCACTTAAAGAAAACTCAAAAAGAAATGCAGAGTTGTTAGCTAGTGAGGTTCATTCATTCAAAACTTTAAAAAAAAACTTTATTTTTTAATTGTCATCAGTTGTTTAGATTTTTCAACATGATTATTATATTGTTAATAATTTTGAAAATCTTATTTTTATTTACTTTTAACATCTTGTCCAATTATTTTCAATATTTTGAATAAAAAAAAATTTTTAACAATTATAATTTAAAATGTCTTTGTTATATTATAATAATAAATAAGAAATTACTATATTCATTAGGCACGGCTGTTTCAAACCGAGCTTAACGGCTTCTTGTTAATTTTTGAAAATATTGACTAAAGGGGTGTTACTAAAACTTTTATAACTTTTGAAATAAAAGAGGTAATTTTGTTTTGTAAAAACAATTAAGACATCAATAAAATGTTTTACCTTATGACATTTAATGCATTAGTAGAAAAACTTCTTTTAGTTTAGAATAAATATGACATATATTGAATTTAACTAAATTTTTGTAATTTGATGTTACTTTTTATCAAAAAAAAAATAGAAAAATATATTCCTAATAGTTATTATCAAATACACTTATTGTTTGACAATAATGAAAACAAAAAAACCTTACTTAATTATTTAAGGTTAACTAAAACAGCCTTAATCGAATTGTGAAAGCAAACCACATTTTTCGCAAAATTATGAAAAACGTCGTTATAAGGGGGGATTAGTTGTTAAATGAGTACTTTTTTTAATATAGAAGTTCTTGATTTAGAAAATTATTTTGGAACGCTGATAAAATCATTACATTACAAAATAAAGTTCTCATAATATGGTGTTAGGTAGTTAATAAATAAAAACTCATCAATTCTAATAAAATAATTCATGACCAAAATTGAGTTAAAGGTTTTGAATTAACCTAGCTTTTGGTAGTAGAATTATTTTATGGTACTTGTATCAATAATCTCTTCTCACAAAAAATAAAGTGTTTAAATATACACAAATAGCTGAATTAAATCTTTTGATAATTCGTTTTTATTTTCATTAAAAACTGTTTTATAATTAGTTGGTCCATTGATATGTTCTTCAAACAGTAAACTATCTTTGAACACCCAGATGATACTAGACTCATACATAATTCATTTAAAACCAGAAGAACATTTGGTCAACTTGGCAATTGTGATAATAAAGTTTACAACTTCTTAATTTATCAAGCTAAATTTTTACACCAACTTGATAAATGAGACTTATATTCCATTCTTTAACCAGAGAGGAGGTATGTAGAGCAGAGGTCCTGCGAAGGTAGAACTAACTTTTGATGATAAAAATTGAACGGAGATCTAATATATATAAAAAATGTTACATATTACATAACAAAGGATAAAACGTTTTTTGAATTAACTACATAAACATACAAAATCATATCCAACAAACATACCAGTTGCTCTGATCACAAATTAAAATAGTTAGCTATACATTTGATGCTAGACTTTTATTCCATTCTTTAACCTGAGCAAAGGCATTGCATAGATATAATAAACTTTTGAAAATAGGAACAGAATGGGCATCTACCTAATATATAAAATCATTGTAATAAAAAATTATTATTATTTTGAACAAACATTACAGGCATTAAAACAGAATAGAATTCTCTTATTTGTAAATTAAGGATCTTATATAATTTATCTTAGATGTAAAAAGTTTAATTTTTTTTTTAACTTTTCAAACATTTAAACTAAATTTGATGACCACAAACAAGACAAAGACCTTGTCTATAAAATGAATTTTCGCCACGCTCTGAACACACAACACACTTTCTCACCTTAGAGGCTTGTTTACATAATTTACGTAAATAAGGAATTATTACGCATAATAGCGTAAATAATTCCTTATTTACGCTATTATGCAAACACTCTCCCTCCTCTTCACTCAGCAACCCAATAGTTTTATGCAATTTTACAAATAGTGGCACATTGAAAATGAGTTCATGCATTTTTCGCGTGATACTTTCTTTTGGAAAGCAAGCATGAAACTCAATAGCAAATAAATTTATATATTGATGAAGCTCAGAAATTTCGGCATCAGAAAGAAATTTTCGCTTAAAAAGAATAGGTTGCAAGTTATTAAAAACACTAAACACACGTACAAATCTATTTTTAATTGCTTCATCATCAATAACACTACAAAGTTTATAGTGGTTTCTTAATACTATTTTACAATGATTACCTACAAATACATTACCATGGTAAGCTTGTCGCTCAACTTTCATATCTTCAAGGGCCTTATAAAGAGACCTCTCATGAGTCCCCATGCTACTTATTGATATTTTTTCTAGGTCTTCACACTCTATCTGCAATCGAATATACTCAACGTCTAAAACTTCGCGCTGTGCGCGTATAAAAGAAATTTTTTCAGAAATATAAAGGTCAAGACATTCTAAATCTTCACCCTGACATGCTAAACACTCATACTTCTCTATATCACACAATACATTCTTTTCCGAACCACCAATAATTTCACAAAATTGATGGAACAATTTTTGGCACGTACCACACTGCACCCAATCAATGTTACAATCATATTTAGTAATTAAACACCTGATACTAGCACACTTTTCTTGCTGTTTACAGGTTTTTTTTTTATTGGAGGAGTTTAGAGATATGCATTCCAATTCAGAAATATTTTTATCAAAAGCTAACCAACGAGTCTGTAGATTTGCAACGTCTACAAATTGATTTCCTAATAAACGTAAAGAGTCTGCTGTTTTAGAACATTCAAAGCTTTTAGCAGCATTCGTTCTCACATTCTCATTATGCGACAAAGACGAAACAGCTTGACAATCCAAAATCTTACACTCCTTCAACAATAACTTATAAAGTTTTAACACAACTCCTAACATAATATGCAAAACAGGTGGCACTACATTATCTAAAGTTATTATGGGGAAAATCACAGGAGCAATAATTGAATTATGAAACTTACCTAGAGCTCTTAGGTTTCCACCTTGTCTATCTTCACACAAGTTCTCATTGTAAGCACTTTCCAGAGATTGTATTGTCCTCCTTAAGATGTTACAATTAGCAGGTGTGTGAGGCATAGAAGCATGGTTTCTTAGAGAATTCAACTTAACTAGGTCTGTAGAACTAGGAAAGCTAGCAGCTGAACCCTGGTGTCCCAGAACATCATCGATAAAATGAAAATCTCCACCTAAGAACAACCTGACTATTTTGCCTTTTAGCTTAAAATCTGACGACTGAATTCTTTTAATGTCGTTGGCATAATGCCCGAGAACTAAGGCAATATTCTCACGACAGTCTGAACCCTGATACATACAAAATAAATGAACATCATATACAGACCCTGATGATTTAGAATTGACAACTTCAAAATGGAATTTCATATACTTCCCACCCTTATCCCCAGCAAAAAGGAGCCATACCTCTTCGCAAAAACCGACATCAGAATTGAAGTGGTCACAAACGTGCAGACTATTGAAAACCTCTTCAATATAAGTTATCAAATTCTTGACCATCAATACAGGTACTAAACAAGGTGCTTCATTCGCAGATGGATAAAGCAACATGGACTTTACAGTAACATGTTCTTTACTAACATGCATTGTCCGCATTTCTTGTTCTTGTCTTATCTTGGGCTCAGATGGGAGAATCCTTGCACCAAGATTACACAGAATACGTCTTAGCCTACGGAATTCAGCCGTGGGCATCCTTAATTGGCTCTGCAGCTCTACAGCATCAGAAACACTTAACTGCCTAACTAAACCCAACTTATTTGCAACACAATGAAACATAGACTTTTCACAAGACACAGAATCACAAAACAACATAGACAAATCACTTTCCAAATCTGAACAAGCTAATAATCGAAGGAATATAAAAGCAAGTTTAGATCGTCTAGCTGCAGCATGCCTACCTAACTTAGAATAAGATTTACCATCTCCTAACTTAATGTAAGTATATTTCTTACCAACTATTGGCTTTTTAACTGATATAGTCTGTGGATTACTTAATTTAAACCCACAGAATAATTCAGAGGAACCAATGTTGTCATAGTCTAAATAAGAATCAACGACAACTAAATCCTTATCACTGCTAGCAAAATATTTGCAAATTTGGCAACTGTTCTTGTTTATATCACTGATTTTTGCATTTTTTTTTTCAAATTTAAATTTTTTTAGCAATC